GAAGAAAAACTATGGGAGTTCAGTTGGATTTTCAATCCAAAGCCCCAGACCGCATGACCTCAAATTTATGCAGGTCAGGGCGCCTACGTTGCATTGCACACGCTTTACCCAACAATTTACATGGCCAACATCCTCACCTCTAAGGCAGCGGTGGCGATAGCTGGAACCCAGACATCCTAAACAGCACAACTTATCCACCGGCACACTGAGTAGACACAAATGCAGCAAGTAATGTTTTGCACCATTATAAACTGTCATGAAATTTATATCATCAAAAGGAAAGAAAGGTCCATTTTTGAGACAGTAAGTTAAGAAAAGATGGACAAAGAAACTTCGAAGAACCTACCTGTGAATAGCCTCAAGACACTTTAACCGAGCAGCGATGCCGTTTAGTTCGGCATAGACTTCAAATAGGAGGGGTAGGAGGAGATGAACGGCCCTGATCATCACCAAGTCCACCTGGCCGGCGTCAGCGGCGGTCTCGTCCGACTTGGCTGAAGTGGAAACGCGACCGGAGTGCAGAATTTTCTCCAGTCTGCGGCACTCAGTTTCGAAGAGCTTCGCTCGTACATCCAGATGACCAGTGTCTTTCGAGCGCTGAGCATTGTTATTGCTGTCGCATGTCCTTGAGGGCTGAAAGTGAGAGGAAACCGGCACAGGTTGTCAATAATATGATCGAGCCCAGATCTACAGATATCCTGGCGCAATCTGAGCCCCACATATTCCTACTAGGTCGCGTAGTAGCGACTGAACAATCATCTTACCACTTTTTCCTTTAGCCGTAACCTCGGAGATAAAACATCCATCCGCCTCTCGTTTGGAATGTCTTCATAGGTCTTAACCTTCTCCATGTGCCACCGTTCATGGTCTTACCGTAACACAACATTTTTACCGCCTCCATAGTCGACGACTGAAAAAAGGCTGCTTTTTTCGACTCTGACTCCTTAAGAAGGTTAACTCAACACTATTCGGTCAAGGTTTGTCAGGCAAAGGGTCAACCGCTGTAGTTTGTGAGGACGGGACCAGCCGGCTTTACTGGAATCGGAAGGCTGGCCCGAATTACATAGACGTGATGAACGAATCGTGTCGGATGTGTTATTAGAACGACGGTTAGCTTGCACTCACTTTGAAAAAAAAAACACGGGCACCTCGGATCACCTGGTTGGGAGGCTTCATCGGCAACATTTGACTTACTTACCGTCTTTAACCAGCCATAATCCAAGAAAAGGCCGAGCAGACTAAAAGCTTCACTGAGTGCTTAATTATCACATCTAGTCTTCCCGTAAATTGAGAAGATCCGTCTACTGTGAGAAGGGGACTTGGGCCATCGGTATTCCGCATTCCATTGAGATGCTCAGCCACTTAGCAAAACCTGAGCACGGGGTGTCACATAATAGTTGCACCACTCAGGGGCATGGAAGCGGTACAGCCGGGACAGGAGACTGTCGGCAAGAACTGGACATCTCGGCTAATTGACTTCACCTCGGTGTGTGCGCAACACAGACTAGTATATTCCCATTAAAAATCTGGTCTTAGCGTTAGTATTTTAACACAAAGCAAACATGCAAGTGTTGACCAGATTTGGGGTAGGGGGGAGAGGAGGCAAGATTTCTGGAAAAAATGTCAGAAACAGGACTTTTCTTGACTATAAGGACAAAAACAGGACTGGGCCAAGCAAACAAACAAAAAAACGACCAAAGGGGGACGAAAGTAGTCAGAAAGACTTACGAGTTCCGAGTGCCGATGATTTTGTGTACTCAATGCTGCGGGTGCTGCAAAAGCGGCCGGCAGCGGAGGCATCAACTCGCTAAAAAATAACGACAACAGGTTAGCGCACGCTGTCGAGAGTTAACATCGGCCGTCGCTGTATTTGACCAGCAAATTCACCTTATCAGGTTCATCAGCGTAAGGACATTCTCTTGGCCCCTGTCCTCCAGAGAGAAGGATGTGTTGGATTTGGACGGAGTAGAGGTGGAAAGAAGGGAATCGAAGGGAGACTGTGGAGGAGTCAGCGGACTTCCTGCCTTAGAGCCAATTGGAAAATCTAGACTGCTGGCGGGTGGTTCCTTTTCAGTGAGCAGCGTGTAGGCCGTCTCGGCCATTCCTATTGAAGAAACGGGAAATGTGATTGCCTTCAGAATACGCATTTCGTACTCTACATAGTTTCAGTGAAGGTGACTGAAACACAGTTGACAACCCATGGAGAACATAGAAGCATGGACTGGCATCAACTGTCATGTATAACATATCCTGTTTAATGCTATCGTGAGGGAAAACATTGAAACTTGACTTCCACCCGGTCTAGGCGAGACTTTAAAGAGGCGTCACACAATGGTGTAGTAATCAGTAAAGGCGAACTGGATGGAGCATTTGTGTCTTAGTTGCCATCATCCGCTGGTCCGAAAGACCCGAAATTTAACGCCGAGTAGCGGTTCGCGAACAGTAGCCTGAGACTTGAGAAAAATGACTCAAAACCAGGGATTAATGTGACAGGGTCTACAAGACCGCGGATCTACAAACCGCTCGTCCAAAGCAGACTTGGCGCAGGGTCTGTGCAGATAGCAAACCGTTTTCAGACAGTAAGTCGTATTCTTGGAAGAGTGTCATTTCCGAACCCAACAATACACCTGAACTTGTCGAATGGACACTTTTTGGGTTAACATCCGCGGGAATGATCGAAGCATCGAGGTAGCTTAGAGAATTGAGACGTTTAACTGGGTATTTCTATGTAAATTTCTGACGTGCTAGGAGTCAATCATTGAAAACGACGTTAAAATGGTGGTAACTGAGAAACATAAAACATACTCAATTCGCACAGTGAATTATTACGAGCTACTTTCCAAACTACCGTCCTCAATGATTACATAGAGACAAATAATTCACCCGAAAAAAAAAAATATATATATATATAGATTTTGTTATAGTCCATTAATGACTTTAAGATTTGTTGGAACAAGGCGCGAATTTGCCCAATTGTAAAGGTGTCATTTTAGGCTGCGTTCTTTTTCAATTATTCTTGGAACTACTCTTACCTCTAACTTCATAAAATACAGGACTACTTCTCCGCTTGGAAGGTTATATGAATAAAGGTGCAGGCACAAGACAGACCAAAAAATGGGTAGCATAAAAGACACAAGCACACATTTCCAAAAGAGA